AGCAGCGACTGGCGCCGCGATGGGGTTGAGAGGAGACGATATGGGGATGGGTGAGGGGGGAGGGAGTGGGGGAGTGAAGCGGAGGGGGAGCGAGGTGCAGGAGGCGGTGGGGTTGTGTGGCGTGGAGGAGAGCATGCAAGACGCGGAGATCCTATTCGCTGCTGCCATGCGCGCTGTCAATGAAATGCAGCTTGCCGCCTCCTCCATCCCCGACTCTCCCTTCGCCCCGTTCTCCCCCCTCTCTGCCGCAGCGTCTCTCCCTACCACCCCTGCCACTGCTTCTGCCGCCGCCGCCGCCGGCGCCACTGCTGCTCCTGCTCCTCCTCCTCCAGCGGCTGCTGCTGCTCCTGGTGGTGTTGCTGCGTCGATTCTCGAACCGACAACTACCTCCAGAGCTGCCGCGTTCACAGCAGGTTCCCCAGCATCCGCCCCTGCTGCTCTTGCCGGTCCGTACGGTTCGTACCCAACACCCGCCGCACCAGCATCGGCTGGCCCTTCTTCCGACAGCCCATCGCTAGCCAGCAGCAGCAGCCAGGGCACGGGTGGCACGGGTTCCGCCCCTGGAAGCTCCCAGACGCAGGCTCGCAGCGTGCATCCGTACAATAGCCTGTCTCCCGACGCGTCTGTAGGAGATGCGCTGTTTTACACGCCTCCCTCGCTCTCTTTGGATGGTTTTGGTCGCCGCTCCGCGTCCGGAGGGGGCAGAAGGGGGGGTGGTGAGGTAGGAGCGAGAGGGGCAACTGCCGCGATGGCTGCGGTGGCGGCGGCGGCGGCGTTGGCAGCGGGAGTGGGCGGGGCAGGGGGAGGGCTCCCGTCGATTCTGCGGAAGAGGCGCCGTCGCAGCGACTCCTTTCTCTTGGTCAGCCCGTCGAAAATAGCGGCGGCGGCAGCAGCCGCTGCAGGAGCAGGACGAGGAGCAGGAGTAGGAGGAAGGGGAGCAGATTCACTCGCAGCAGCAGCAGCAGCAGCTGGGTCAGGAGGAGGACGAGGAGGGGAGGAAGAGGGGCATGAGAGGCAAGAGAGTCATGAGAGGCAGCAAGCAGGGGCAGCAGAGGGCGCGTACATGGATCTAAGGGAGTCTGAGGGGGGCTGTGCACTAGAAGGGTCGATTCAAGCCTCTCCGCTTCCACTCTTCCCCGCACAGCCCTCTTCCGCGCTCGCTACTGCTCCTGCTGCTCCTGCTGCTGCTGCTGGTCCTGCTGGTCCTGTGCAGTCACACTCGCTATTGTCAAACCCAGTGGTGTCGCCTTGGCCCAGGTCTCGCTCGCTCAGTCTGTTCCCTGCCACGGCTGGTGGTGCTGGAGATAGCAGCAGCCGTAGGCTGGGGAGAAACGCAACGGTTGCTGCAGGACCAGACTCAGCAGCAGCAGCCGCAGCAGCAGCGGCAGCAGTGTCAGGGATAGCAGGGGCAGCAGGGGCATCAGTGCCATTGCTGGCTGCTGGCAGCGGTCCTCCTCAGCTCAGCCTGGCTCTCAGCTTCTCTGCTCACCCTGCTGGTGTTGCTGATGATGTTAGTGTGCGTGGTGATTCTGCTGGTGCCGATGGTACAGGCGGTGGCAAGGGCAACAGTATGGGCTCTGATCGCACTAGCGAAGCTGCTTGTAATGTTGCAGCCGCCGCCGCCGCTGCTGCTGCTGCTGCTACTGCTGCTGCTGCTTCTTACGGGGAGGATATGGTGGTGGAAACGCAGCAGAATGAGGAGGAGCGAGAAGGGGGGAAGAGCAGTGGGTTAAGAGGTAAAGGACAGCATGGGGAGGCGAAGGGCAGGCGTGCAAAGGGTGGGGACGGGGTGAAGAAGAAGAGTAAGAAGAGGGACGACGGGACTGCAGCTGCTGGTGACTCTGGTAATGCCGCTGCTAGTGCTGGTGGTGCTGCTGCTGAGGGTATGGAAGCGAATTCGATAGACTGGCTTCACCGTGTGCCTAGCACCAGGAGCCACCCAAGCGCCATTACCATTACAGCGCACGCTTCATCTGCTGCTGAAGCTGCTACTCCTGATACTGCTGCGTTTGCCGCTGTATCTCCTGCTGCTGCTGCTGCTGCTGCTTCTTCTCCTGCCTCTGCTGCTGCTGGAGCAGCAGGGAAGCGTTCTCCCCGCACCTTCTCATCCCCGCCGCCATCCCTCTTCCGCCCTGTCGCCATGTCAGCAACCTTGAAATTGCCACCAACTGCAGCACAGCCAGCTGGCGCACTGTTCGCAGCGGCTCAACAAGCAGCAGAGGTTGGACTGGCTCCACCAGAAGCAGCAGCACAAGTAGCAGCAACGCCACCACCCAACACCAGAAGAGCAGGAGCGGGAGCGGGAGCAGGAGCGGGAGCAGGAGCAGGGTGGGGAGCCGAAGCAATGGACGTCGTGGGAGCACCAACAGGGGCAGTGGGAGAAGTGGGAGCAGGAATGGGAGGCGGAGGGGCAGCAAGCAACCAGGGCGTGCAGTTCTCTCCTCTGGGCCCGGCCTTTGCAGCACTCAGTGTGGCCGCCTCTCCTGCCAGGCCATCCTCCCTGCTGAAGCCCCAGCCGCTGGTATGCACCAAACACTTCTTTCCTTCTCTCTGCCCTCTTCTCTCTGCTCTCTGATTTCTGTTCTCTGCTCTCTGCTTTCTGTTCTCTGCTCTCTTCTGCCTTTTCTCTGCTCTGCCCTGCTCATTCGTACACGTGTTTCCCTATTCTGCCAACCTTCCCTCTCCCCGTTTCAGTCACACCACGAGGCTCACATGGCGCACGCTCTCTCTGTGCCTCCAGAAGCCTTCTCCTCTCCGCCCTTCCGCCTGCGACGCAGACTCATCGATCCTTCCTCCTCCTCACGCCCCTACTCGCCCGCACCCTGCATCCCGTCCCACCCGCACCTCCCTCACTCCTCCTCCGTCCCTCCTCTCTCACCTGCCTCTGCGTCTGCATCTGCCCCTGCCTTGGCACCCGCACCTGCCTTTCCTGCTCCAGCAGCAGCAGCAGCAACCGCAGCTGGAACCACTTCTTCTGCTCCTTCGGCTCCTCTTGCCCTTGGCTGTGCCTCCACTTCCTCTGCTCTCGCAGCAGATGATGACGATTCTGCTGCTGCCGCTGATTCTATTCCGGCCGATCCCACTCCTGCTGCTGTTCAGTCTGCTGCACCATTCCTCCCGCCCTCCATCCCTCTATCCGCCCCTCCGTCCCTGCCTCTCCCCACTGCACCGCAACTCCCTCAGTCTCCCCTCCCGCTCGTCTCTCATCCCCTCCGTCAGTCTCATCTTCCCCCATCCGCGTATGATGCTATGGTCACAAGTCCAGTGCGGCCCTCACACCCACCACACCCTCTCTCCATTCTCTCAGCACACATGCCTCCTTGGGACGCGGTTAGACCAGGAAGTGGGGGTGGAAGCGGAGGAGTGGGAGGTAGTGGTGGTGGGGGAGGGTTGCGATTCCTGAGGGAAGTCCTACCGGGTGGCGAGGAGCGTCTTTCAGTGGGGGAGGTTGGACCTGGGCTTGCAAGCCTGAGGGATTCTCTGGCTGCGGCACAACAGAGGTGGTCCGTAGGGGGTGCTGATACCAGTACCAACGGTAATGCTAATTCCGCGGCTGCTGGTAATGCTAGTTCTGCTTCGGCTGCTGCAGGACCTACTGCAGGTGGCCCTGGGACAGACACAGTAGCTGCTACAGCGGCAGGGACACTAGCCCCACTAGCACCATCACCATCACCACCCTCCTCCTCGTCTCTCTCACCCACCCCAACAGCAGCAGCAGGAGGAGGGGGAGGAGGAGGAGGAGGAGGAGGAGCAGCAGGCTCTTCGAGTAGGGGACCTGCATCTGTTTTATCCAGGGGCATGGGTGGCGGCATGGTGCACACTATAAGCACAAGGCCGGGTGTGACCATGGGCATAGGCATGGGCATGGGTGTGGGCTCGTCTGTTGGGGTGTGGCAAGGCTCATGGCATGGCATGGGGGATTACGAGCGCAATGGGTATGGGAACGGCGTGGGTTCAAGTTCGTATGGCTGTGAGCCGGTTAGTGCAATGGCTGGTATTACAGGAGGGGCGGACCCACCGTTACCAGACATGCAAGCAGGTGGAGGAGGGGGCGGAGGGGGGGGAGGCGGGGGAGGGGGAGGAAGGGGGGGAAGAGGTGGCGGGCCAGTAGGCAGAGGAGGAGGGCCACGAGAAGCAACGGCAGCTGCAGCAGTGGGGGCGGTAGGTGGGGGTAGTTCTGGGCCTGCTAGGCCCACGTATGTGCAAATGAGAACAGGCAGAGGAGGAACAGGTGGCAGAGGCGGCGGCCGAAAAGGCAGCATGTTAGGTGGAGAAAAAAAAGGTGGGCAGTAGGTGAAATTGTAGTAGACTAGGTAGACTAGGCCTGGTTGTGTGCACTCCTGGGCAGGATTGAGTTTAGGAAAAATATTGTTCTGAGGGCATGTGCAGTCCTCTTATGTGTTTGTGTTTGTGTGTGTGCGTGTATCTGCTTAGTTTCCTTCGTGGTTGTTGCCTTCCGTGTGCCTCACTGTGTAGCGTAGGAGCAGCAGTAGTTGCCTTACCACGGGCTGGTTTGGCAACAATAGTATCACTCTTGTTCTTTTCCCCAGGTTTGGAAATTGTCATATCATTTGACGCATGCAGTTGGAATGAGGTACCTGTAACTTGGAATTTGGGACATCTGTGCAATTAGACATGGATGGTTTATTCCTCTATCCCAGGAAACCGCCTTCGCCTTAAAGGCTTGGTGTGCTAAGAGCCTAACAATATGATACCTAAGTAAAGTGAGACAAGCGTTCCTATATAGTCAGCAGAGCAGCTGGCTGGATGAGTTCCCAACCTAAGTTCTAACCTAAGCACACCCTAAACCCTTACAAGTTAGTTGACGAATATCAACTGCACTTCCCGCAACAACGCGTACGGACACCAGTCAGCTCCAGAACTGAACTCCCTGCTGTCACGCCTGCCAGCCACCGCGCAGCCGCCCACTCCCCCTCTCAACCACGCACCTTCACCAATGAATCCCGCTGCTGCCGCTCACAACCGATCACAGTTCTCTATTACACTACAGTCGTCAGCGCCTGTTCCCGAGGCTTCCGCTGCGCATACTTCTGAATCCATGGATGGACGAGCACGTCTCTAAGCGCCAATCGCGCCGAAGGCTCCTTCACCAGCAGCCGTTGGATCAGGTCCTTTGCGTCGCTCGACACCTTGATGTTGGTCGGGAATTTCAGATCCACCTGCATGATTCGCTTGTAGGTCTGCGGGTGGTTAGGAGCTTCAAACGGCGGGGTTCCGTAGAGAAACTCATATGTGAGCACGCCGAGACTCCACACGTCCACCATGCGATCATGCGACGCGCCCTCGACTGCGCAGAGGACGGCACGGCGGGGGAGATGGAAAGAGAGCATATTAGAGCGGTAATTGACAAGGGGAGAGGAGGAGAGAGGAAAAAAGAGTAGGAAAGAAAAAAACCTTAATCAACAGAAGCTCCTGTTGTTGGCAATCTCAGAAATCGCCGTAGCTGAAAGAATGTCCATCCCACTTACCCATCTCTGGGGGCAGGTAGTCGAGCGTCCCGCAGAGCGTTTGGCGGCGCGAGTTAGGAGCGTGTACGGACCATCCGAAATCTGCGATCTTCACCTCGCCCTGGTGGGAGGAGAGAGAGAGGGAGGAAGGGGGGCGAGCGAGGAAGAGAATAGTCGAGACCAATTTGCGCATTTGGAAAAAAATAAATGCTAGAGGGAAGGAAGCGACAAAGGAATCAAGGATTGTGCAATTCGAAGGATGGTTCAACGCAAGGAAAAAAAAACAAGTAGCAGGTTCTACTCTCTTACATCCGATCCGAGCAGCAGGTTCTCGGGCTTGATGTCGCGATGAATGACGTGCTTCGAGTGGCAGTACATGAGCGCCTCGGCTAGAGACAGGATGTACTGGTACGGAGGAGAGGGTGGGGTGTGCGGTGGGGTGGGGTGGAGTCGGGTGAGAAGGGGTTTGCGAGAAGAGCTGGGGAGCAACAATGCGAAAGGGCGGGCGGGGGTGGAAAAAATGTCATCAACGGAGAGGACGGAAGATGAGAGGAGAAGGCGCAGCGGAGGTTGCGCCGTGGCGTACCGTGGCGGCGCGTTGCTCGGAGAACTGCTGCGACTTCTGTAGCTCGCGATACAGCTCGCCGCCCGCGGCAAACTCGAGGATCAGGTACACGCGCTTCTGCCAGAGGGGGAAGAGCAGCGCGCGTGCGGGACGGAGGGGGAAACGGGGAGAAGTAGAGAAGAGCACTATGAAGCGGGGGGAAGGAGTGGGCGCGCGGCGCGGAAGGAGGAGGAGTATGCATTAGCAGCGGCGGCGCAAGGAGCAGCAATCAGCGGCAGCAGCAGCTGCAGCAGCGTCTCACCTCGTCGTAGAAGAACCCGAAGAGGCGCAGGATGTGCGGGTGGCGCAGGTGGCTCTGGATCTCGATCTCGCGCCGCAGCTGGTGCTCCACCTGCGACTCCTGCAGCTGGTTCTTGAACAGCACCTTGAGCGCCACGATGAACTTGCTCTGCCCAGGGAAAAGGGGAGACCAGAGAGGTGCGCGTACGGATTAGAGACACGGAGAGGCACGGAGAGGCACGGAGAGGCATGGAGAGGCATGGAGAGGCATGGAGAGGGACGGGGAGGGGCGGGGAGGGGCGGGGAGGGGCGGGGAGGGGCGGGTAAGAGTGCGAAAGGAGCGGTGGGGCATGGAGAGATGGGGAGGAGTACCAGAGCAGAGACGGAGCGCAGCTTAACTCGTGAAGGAGAGGAAGCGCGATTGGGAGCAGTCAAGATCACGGAAACAACGTTGGGAGGTCAAGGGGTGGAAGCCGCAATGGGAGCCTAGTTTCTCCTTTCCCTCCTTTCCCTCCGCCTCACCTTCTTCTCTCGCGCGAGGTACACGCTTCCGAACTTGCCGCGCCCCAACGGTCTCCCAATATCGAAATCTTCCAGCGACCACCGATGCTCCTCGCCGCTCCCGCCAATCGACGCCGACGCTGCTGCTGCTGATGCGGTTGACGCGGTCGAGGCGGAGGCAGCGGGACCTCTTGCTCTCTGAAGGAGCGCGCAGCGAGAGGAATTACGGAACAGGAAGGAGAGAGGAGGAACGGATGAGAAAGGATGAAAATGCCTGACAACGAGCGGTGAATAGAAAGAAAAAGCATTTGCGAAAGAAGGCAAATTCACTGCATGCAATGCAAACGGACGTGTTACGTGAAGTTCCGGGGATCTGCGGACGTACCTCTGGCTTTGATTGAGCGGAAGCCGACGGTTGCGGACAGGCTTGCGCGGAAGCAGCTCCTTTTGAATGCGTGGGCGTGCCCTCGATGGCGTTGCTGATCTGTAGCGGCATTCTCGAGGTGGACGGCTGCCGGGCGCGCATGACACGGAGCAAGAGAAGGAGAGAGGAAGTGAGGGAGGGAGAGAGAGGGAGGGGCGGAGTTAGGCAGGGATGGCGATAAAAAGGAGGAAGATGGAAATGGAGACTCTAAAGAGCGAGAATCAAGAGACGAGATGGAACGCGTTACGTCAAATGGAAGTTCTGTTGTCCGAAAGAGTCCCTTCCTGCGCAAGCACTGTATCATGGCTTCGCTGGCCCGTTGGTGGCGTCGACAGTGTTGTGACTCGTTTCTTGCACATTACGAGCTGGACTTTGACCATAATTACGAAGTCACGTGTAACGTGTACTACGTACTGCGAGTCATAAGTTCAACGGTGACTACAATCATAAGCCGTCCGCCGTACGTTTTCCTTCGTCGTCAATCGCTAGTCGTCTGTCGCCGTCGTCGTCGCTCACCTTGTCGACCTGAGGAGCCATGGTTCGTTTCAGTCGCGGCGACGACGTCTTGGTCTCTACGGCCTGTCGCACGCGGTTCTCCTTTGCGCGCATCATCGCAGTCTCCGCCGGCGCCATTCTAAAAAAACGGTCTGGTCACCAAATCCGGTTACGCGAACAGGCAGCGTCTGACGATACGCTGGCGGGACTTGCGGGTGCCCTCTACGAAAACAGCTCTGGCTGAGCCGGAGCAGATGGCGTTAGCTTTAGGGTTGGCGAAAAAAGGACCTACGGCGTCGGTGTGACACTGCTCTCTCGTTACGACAGGAAGCGGGAGAAACGAGTACCACAGCACATAGCCAACCAGGAGATGCGAGTGCTGACGCGAGGAACGATGCTAAACGCTTAGCCACCTGCTAGAGGCGGCGGAGGCGATGAGGTAACAAATTGGCAGCGAAGCGAAGGAATGGGTAAGTGAGGTTGACGAACTGCGCAAGAGACGCTGATGGTTTTGTGCATGTAGGCTGCGTGGGATGGATTGAATGGGTAGGATTGCTCACTGCGTTTCCTCGCTCTCCTTTCATCCACGCCACCTAGAGCGAATTCGAGTGGAGTGACGGCAACGGTCAGATCAATTTGGTTTGGGGACTCGTGGTGGCTGGTCGTTGTGTTGCTCGCTTTGATTGCTTTTCGCGTAACGGGTTGCGAGCCGCCACCGCACGGGACGCTCACTGATGGCGGCTCGAGACGTTGGGCTGGATGGCGAAGCGGAGTTTTCTTTCAAATTCGGGCCTAGTTGAATTCGAGCTATGGCTCCCCAGTTCCAGTTTCAGGACAGGCATTTCCAAACCGCCTAATCCTAGTCTGGCTAACAAGGTCGAACTAGGGATAGGTCCGGTCTCTGGTCGAAACGTAGGCGCTGGTTTGGGCCGCCTTTGCATGCTGCTCTGGAAACCTGCCGCACCAAGAAGCCCGCCAAAACGAGAACCAGGACTTTTGAAATTCAGTTTCGATTGAGGCTTGGCTTAGCCGAAGCTCGTCAATTCCTTCATTTCGCCAGCCGATGAACGGTTCCGTCTTCGTGTCGCTCACTCGTGGCGTCGCAACCAAAAACATGTCACGCAATTCTTCACTATTAGCCACTCCGTTTGTTACTACTCAAAGATTCCGTTCAAATGTATACATGCACTTTTACTGATTGTGAAAATTTAGCTGCATTGTGATGAACACAACCAGTAAAAGTTCGCTGATGGCCCGATTGATCCACATGAAAATCTGTCCGTTATTAAATAATTCCAAATATATCTACGGCTCCTGAAACATGTAAGATCAGTAGAATTTTGAAAATCTAGCTGGCTGCTTTTCATATTCCCCAACCAATGGTTTAGCTGGTGATATCCACTCCAGTGTACTCAACTCAGTCGGCTTACACTGCGGAAGCTTGTTGAATGTATACAAAATCAAGGGCTACGATCGAAAACACCCTCTGTCCAACATCCTCCGCCATCCATCGTGAGGTTATTGCACGACAGTTGCCAGCGCCTGCTCCCGAGGCTTGCGCTCCGCGTACTTCTGAATCCATGGGTGCACGACCAAGTCCCTCAGCGCCAATCGTGCCGACGGCTCCTTTACCAGCAGCCGTTGGATCAGGTCCTTGGCGTCGCTTGACACCTTGATGTTGCCTGGAAACTTTAGATCCACCTTCATGATTCGTCTGTACGTCTCTTGGTTGGTGGTTGATTCGAACGGCGGGGCTCCGTAGAGAAACTCGTACGCGAGCACGCCGAGGCTCCATATATCCACCATGCGATCATGCGAAGCGCCTTCGACTGCACAAGGGCGAAAGTTGAGGACGAGGGGGAAGAAGAGAGAGAGAGTTTGACATCGCGGCGAAAGGTGATACTTGTGAAGGCGAGAGAGCATGAGCCTGAGGTTCACGTACCCATTTCTGGTGGAAGGTAGTCGAGGGTACCACAGAGAGTTCGCCTACGCGAACTAGGAGCGTGTACGGACCATCCGAAGTCTGCGATCTTCACCTCGCCCTGGCGAAAAGAGGGCGTGGTGGAGAGGACGGGGTTAGAAAAGTGCTTTGCGGAGAGACGAAAAAGTCTGGTTAGGAGGGAGAAGAAGTACTTGAACTTCCTTCTGTCGAAAGGCTAACGATATCTGCTTACATTGGATCCGAGCAGCAGGTTTTCAGGCTTGATGTCGCGATGGATTATGTTCTTGGACTGGCAGTAGATTAGCGCCTCCGCTAACGACAAGATGTACTGGTGGGGTGGTGGAAAGAAAACGTGATGGGGTGAGTCGGAGGTGGCCAGAGCAAGACGGTTGCTAATAACAAGAGCGAGTAACGAGACCGTAACCAGCGACGAGGAGCTGTTGCCGTTGATGTCCTACCGTGGCGGCGCGTGGCTCTGAGAAGTGATGCGACTTTTGGAGCTCGCGAAATAGCTCGCCTCCCGGCGCGAACTCCAGAACCAGATACACGTTCGTCTGTCGGGGGGGAACAAGGCATACGGCACACGGGACAAGAGGCGTGTAACTTCACGTGGTGAGGTCACACATGACGGATCAGTGTACAACGCGGACGCGTCTGGAGCCTGGCAATACAAGTCACACGTCCGTCATCAGCGGCGCCAGCAGCACCATCAGCAAGCACCCGCCACTCCGCGTACCCTCACAACTCAGCGCATCTCCGCCTGAAAACCCGACGCGCGGGAGACGCGAGAGCGACGGACGCAACGCGACGCGACGGACCTCGTCGTAGAAGTAGTCGAAGAGGCGCAGGATGTGCGGGTGGCGCAGGTTGCTCTGGATCTCCACCTCGCGCACCAGCTGGTGCTCCATGCGCGCCTTGAGCAGTTCCTTTTTAGACAGCTTCTTCAGCGCCACGATGAACTTGTGCTGCGCAGAGACAGAAACGCAACGGCGGAAAGATAAGACAGGTTAAGAGAGGAGATGTGAACGTTCGGTACGGCCTGCGTAAATTCTCTCCAAACGCTGCAGACGTGCGCGCATGGTGAAAGTGTCTTCATGATTCCTCGTTGCTGCTACAATCCCGCTCACCTCTTTCTCTCGCGCCATGTACACCTTTCCGAACCTGCCTCGTCCCAACGGCCTCCCGATCTCGAAGTCCTCAGGCTTCAACTTCTTCGCCTCGCGAATCCCGTCAGCCGACGTCGTAGCGGAGCTTGATGCTGAAGCGGTCAATGCAAGAGGCAGCACAGCAGGATCTCGTGACCCCTGAATAGCACAAGAACAAATAAAATTAGAGTCAACGAGGGAGATTTGAATAATCCGCCACTGTGAGATTGTCGAGCTCGGTTTCTGAAAATGCGCACGCACCACTGGGTTTGAAAGAGCGGAACCCGACGATCGGGGAAACGCGACGTCGTCCGATGCAGCCATGACGGTGATAGTCGCCTTTGAGTGCGGCTGCGCCTTGTTCAGGGAATTCGTGGTCTGTAGCGGCATTCTTGTGCTGGACGGATGCTGGAAGCGGATGACGGGGCGAGGGGACGCGAAAAAGAACATACACGTCAGCAGCAGAAGAATTGCTCGCGAAGGAAAAAACACGTTACTCGCTTCAGGTACGTCAGACTAGCTTGCCGCGCGATCTTCATCTCTCACTTGAAGGACTGGAATTTAGCCATGGATTTGAAGCTACGGTGTGTGCAGTACTGTGTTTGATGATAGAAATCAGCATTACTGATTTCAGATCATCTGTCGTCATCATCATTACTCACCTTGTCTACCCGAGGAGCCATATTTTGTGGCAGCGCCGCCATATACCTCATGCGCTTCTCCATTGCGCTTGTCATCGCACTCTCTTCTGTCGCGATTCTACAAGGTTACAGAACAAGCTAGGCGAGTATGGGAGCTGTAGGTAGCAGGTTTCCACTACGGAGCCACAGCTACGCGTTTGTGTACTGACGTCCTCCGGTTCCCAATACCAAATCGCGAAGAGAACGGGCTCACTGATTACGGTCGGACGGTCGATGAGGAAAAATGTGCAAGTCAGAAGAGACAATCGCCACAGAAAGGTCAGGATGGTGTTTATATGCGCGATTGGAGCGGAGATCTTTGGGTGGCTGGTTTTGCTTGGAGTATGTCGTGCGTTTCCCGTATCTCCCGCAGTCTCTTTTTCTTGCTAGTGTGAGCAGATTTGCATGGCGGCAATGTCTGCGCTGCACACTGCGTCGATTCCTTTGCGGTCCGTGAGCTTGTCGATTCCTCCCTTATTGGGTACTGCTGCCGCGCCAGCCACATGTCTGGTGGACAGTTTGGCGGCACTGATGTCAGTGCACGCCTGGGATGACATGTGCACTCGTGCCTCGGCAGGGCCCTTTTGAGTCAGCCTCACCTTCGTGTGGAACTTCCCAGAATGTGAAGTACATCATTCTTACCTGTAATCTCTATAAAAATAGAAATTATGTAATACAGAATACTGGTCTTGGGAACGTTTTAAATTTCAAAAAAGTTTGTTGGACATCGCGTAAACACATGCGCGTTCAAATTCCCAGATAATGCACTAATTTGCAAAAAGTGTTCGCCCAAGTTGTTTTGTTCATCTTTTGGAAATTTGACGGAGATGGAGTTCTTTTGGTCTGGGTTGTGGAAAGAAGGTTTATTTAATTTCGTTATTGTTTCTTCCGCCAAGCCCAACCAGCCCTTGCTTTACCCAAGGCGGGCAGGAACACTGCTCGAGAGTCCTAAATTGCACGTACACTTCTCTCCAGTTCGCACACTCCCCGATATGAAGTTTTTAAAACTCGAACATCGCACTCTGCAGCTTGGGCCTCCAGCTTTCATTCTGAAAATGATGTTTCCATTATATAGATTCATGTGTTCCACGTCGATCGAGACCATTATACAGAAATCAGTTTCCCTGGAGATAATTTCTGCGACAAAAAAAGCATGTGCACATGGAGTACGAAACTGAACGCTTGGTTTAATCAGGTCAATTCATTGTAAATCACGTTGAATAGGTCACCATCTTGCAAGGCAACCACGTTGTCCACGGCCCTGCTGGTAGCGAGACCCCAACCACGTCTACGCGCATTCCCTCCAAAACAGGCTCGGCGAATCTGCACAACCAGAACTTGTGCATCCACCAACATTTCGCAAGCGGGCCTTTGGTGTAGGAGTAACCCACGAGCTTTACTTTCGCCCTTCGCCAGCCCTCGGGTCTTCCCCGTATCTCGTATTCACTTAGCCACGTAAGCACGCGTCGCAGTTTCGCCCAACTACAGACGTGAATCCGTGCGTGGAATGTGCCACATCGGCGAGCATGGAACGCCATCAGCAGACGGTCAGGAGGGCCGAGCCCACATGAAGCGCAAGTGCCGCACGTTGTGCGTTTTCGGGCAAGGGACCGTGGGGGGTGGTGAGTTGACGGGGAAGAGATGGCGCACACGAACGAGTCGCGCTGGCGAACGCCAGATTTGTCATAAAATTTCTCGAATCCGAGGCTTGATTCGTGACTTGAAATTGAATTGGGGCTCTCCTCACAAGCATGAGTAGCCTACAAGGGTGCATCACTTTTCACCGACGATCATAGGAGCTGTTGAATCCAGGCGAATAGCGTCACAGCCCAGCCCAACAGATGATCTCTCACAGCAAGAGTAATTAAATCCCTAACTCCTTATTTTTCACCAGATTCTTCGAGAGAAATCAACTTCAGACCAAAGGAAAGCAGCGCCGCTTTCCAAGATGGCGGTACCATGGAGAGCCGTTCTTCTGACAACATGCATTCTGCTCATCCCAGCAGTCTTCGCAGGTGCGATAATTACAAAAGGTTTGCGTTGTTCCCCTATCACGAGAGAACAATCACCGCCAGTCTTTGTCTCTCTTGATCTCCTAACGCTACCTACTCACAGCAACTGTGCGCCTTTGCCGTCCTTTACGTCCTTTGTTCTGAATCCTCATACTTCACTTCCGCCTGTAAAACGAGTTTTTTTCTGACCGACACCTTCTCCTCTGCTGCCTGTGCTTTACTGCTCGATCCCCGCGCGCCAATTCAGCCGAAGCATGGCAATCGGACGCGGATACGATGGAGCTGCAGATAGAACTGCATGAACTAGATCTCGCCGATGACGATACCTTCCCTTCGCCCGTCGAACCTGATTCCTTCGAGCCCGTCAGGCGAGGTACGTTGAAGGGTGCTTTCGTCCCCCCAGGTTGTCGCAGAAATTGAAGGTGGATTGGCTCGGGAGCAAATATTTGGATCATGTCCTCGATTCCTTGGATCAATTCTTTGTTGGTTTCGAACTCGCCGCTGGAGAGTGGCTCCCTCGAGTATGTTTTCCTTCAAGCACCTTGTCGTAATTCCCAAGGTGGATCTGGTGGCCCTGATTTTCCCATTCTCGTTCGCTTTTATTATACGCAGAGCGCATTCTCAAAGCCGCAAGCGCCGTGGACGAGGGAACTCCGTTGAACCGCACCGCAGTGGGAGCAGCCAGCAAGCCGGAGAAGAAGAAGACCGGGGGGCACCATAAGAAGGGCGGCGGACACAAGAAGGGAGGCGGGCATAAGAAGGGAGGCGGACACAAGAAGGGGATTAGCAAGACAGACACCCCTGCGACCAACACACCCGTTGCACCCAACGCGCCCAGCAATTTCCCCAAAATTCCGGTTGCCTCCACCACACCTCCCCCTAAAACCTCCGTACCTGTTCATAAGCCAACGGTCGCTGCTCCGGAAACGCCCGTGGTTTCCAAGACGCCCGTCGTTCCTAAAACTCCCGTTGTTCCAAAAACGCCCGTCGTTCCTAAGACGCCGGTGGTTCCTAAAACGCCGGTAGTTCCTAAAACGCCGGTGGCTCCGAAGACGCCCGTCGTTCCTAAGACGCCCGTTGCTCCCAAGACGCCCGTCGCTCCCAAGACGCCCGTCGCTCCTAAGACGCCTGTCGTTCCTAAGACGCCCGTCGTCCCGAAAACCCCTGTCGCCGTCGCAAAGAAGCCAGTCACGAAGCGTCCCATCGCCGAAACCCCCGCTAAAAACCCCGTCGTTCTGCCGAAGCGGCCAGTCATCATCCCCCCGGCGCCACGTGTCCCGCCCGCCATCGACCCGCCCGTGGTGGGCACGCGCGTGGGCGTGTGGAACCTTCCCAACTACAAGAACCTCCCCGCAGTTCTCAAGCCCGCGCTAATCACCTGGCCGAGCCCGACCGCCACCTGCGTCACCCTCCCGCGCGGATTCTACGCGAATCTGCACTCGGCAAAGATCATCTGGAACGCCGCGGATAGGACGCACAACCACTTCCTCTGCCAGACGGTTACGTTCTGGATGAAGGCCGGGTGCACGGGCGGCGGAGTGTTCGTGAGCCTGCCTTTGCCGGCGGATCCGAATAAGTTCGACTACCCGATCTCGGCGGTGAAGGCGTTTCCCGCGGAGAACAGCCGCGCCGTGTCCGTCTCGTGCACTATTGGTTAGTGACGTGGCGCTTTGTCGTTACCGTAGTCATCACCCGTAACCATCGCCGTCTGCGTCACCGTAACCGTTACTGTCATCGTCACGTCAATTTAAACCTTTACAATAAAAGACATTCCTCGCGTTGTCATGTTCCCACCAATTTAGTCTCCTTTCTCCCTCGTCCCACCTCCCCCGTCTTTCTCGGCTCCGTTCTCTCAGCCAAGAGCGCGTGCTCCACGGTCCGCTGCCCCGTCCATTCCAAATGCACCGTGACTCCCGCCGGTGCTGCCGCGTGTACATGCAAGCGCGGCTACACGTCCATCGGCGGCAAGTGCATCAGTACGTTCACGACTCCCGCCCCCTTTACTCCCTCCTCCTCCACCCGATCCGCTGCCGCAGTTAGCCTCGCGAACACTCGCTCTCATACGCAATCCCCCCCTTCCCACAAGCGTTCCCCGTCCCCTTCCCCCCCGCGTCCCGCGGCGTCTGCGCCGCCCGCTAAGAAGAAAAACGAAACAAAATCCAAAAAAAGTGAGCGTTGAATTCTGGCCAACCTGAGCTTTTTGTTTCCGTATATACCACTCCCTCTTCTCCCTCTTCTCTCCAACTCCCCCTCCCAGCCTTTAGTCCCGACACGCATTTCATCCTCACCTTCGTCGTCCCCTTCTCTCTCCCGCCTTCTTTCCCCCTGCGTTCTCCGCCTCTGCCCCACCGCGTCACCCCGCGCAGACGTGTGCGCATCCGTGACCTGCCCCGCGGGAGCGTCGTGCCAGGCCACCAACGGCAAGGCGCTCTGCATCTGCCGCAGCGGCAGCCCGCCCGTCGGCGGCATCTGCAAAGGTGCGCGCGCGCCCCGCCACCTCCACTGACCTTGTCCCCCCACTTGCTGCAGGCGCTGTTTTTGAGTTCTAGAAACCAGTTCTGTTCACTCATGCACCTTCCGCTGCCCTTCCGCTCACTTGTCCTCCTCGCGTGCTTGTTTTTCCCCGTTCCGTTGCTTCCCCCCACCAGAGGCCACGGGCACCTCCGCGGTTCTCGAGTACGTTATGGGGCATAATGCCGCGCGCAGCGCCATCGGTCTCCCGCCGCTCGCGTGGAATGCGTCATGTAAGCCCGCAGCGCCATCCGCCTCCCCGTTTCCCCTCCCCCTCCCCGACGCTAAAAATACACTGTCGTGCGCGCCCCTACTCCTGCGCATATCCCGCGCATACCCTCACCATCGCCCTCCGTTTTCCTCTCCTTTCTCGTGCATCCCCCTCCCTTCTCACCCCCCCTTCTCCCCCTTTTCCCCCTTCCCCGCCCGCAGTGGCGCTGCGCGCGCAGAACTGGGCGCGCGTGCTGGCGCAGAAGCACCAGTGCATGCAGCTGGAACACGGTGACACCAACGGTGTGGGGCAAAACCTCTTCGCAGGTTGCTGTAACGGATTCTACAAAAACGCGGACGCCGTACAGGCGTGGGTGGACGAGATCAAGGATTACAAGTACGGGAAATACCCTGACGCGTGCCGCGCTGGGAAGCAGTGCGGACACTACACGCAAGTGGTTTGGGAGACGACGAAGCAGGTGGGGTGCGGTCGTGTGGATTGCGCGAACGGTTGGACGGTTTGGGCGTGCGACTACTACCCGCCTGGTAACTACATCGGACAATACCCCTATTGACAGACGCAATAAGCGGATCGACAAGATTTACTGCGAGAGGAAATAACAATAGGTTGAATACAGGCCAGTGCGACTTTTGTTTGTGCAGGCTTTTTAACTGTAGACTGTTTTGTTAGACCAGTGTAGATAGACCAGGGCATGGTGGTAGGAGATGCGCTCTCTAGTGTTAGTTCTTAGATGCTCAAGGCGACAATAAAATCAAGTGACATTCAGTTGCGGCGTCTTACTTTGAAGTGCTGTTTCAAATGACCAGTAGATGTGCGAAAAAGTGCTCTATTTTTAGCTGGTGAGTAAAAACTGGACTGTGTGTGTTACACTACCATCTCAACATATACTTCGCCAATTCTGTTTCTAGCTCCTCCACTGCGGCCACAGCAGCAGCCTCTGTAGCATCATCAGGCACTCTCGCAGCACTAACAGCAGTGGCACCAGCACCAGCAGCAGTTTTACCCGACTCAACTCTACCTGCAGCGGCTGTTGCACCAAACTCAGCAGCAGAACCATCAGCAGCTGCACCACCATTAGCAGCGGCGGCACTAGCAGCAGCACCAGCAGCAGTGGCGGCAGCGTAGCAGCATAGGTGCATGAGCTCCAGCGTTCGGGGAAGAGGCCGGCACCCAGACAGGTGCATGTCCTTCAACACACCCCGCAGGAATACAATTGGTGGTGGGAGTGCGGATGGAGAAGAGGAAGAATGCGAGGTGCTCTCACTGCTGCTGCCGCTGCTGCCTCTCAGACTGCTGTTGGTGCTGCGAACTACAGGGGGGCTCACAGCAGCACCACCAGCAGTGCCAGCAGAACCAGGCAGGACATTATTGCCACGCGCGACATGAACAGCAGAAGCGCTTGCACTGGCAGCGGCCGTGGCAGTGGTGAGGTAGGTTTGTAGGAGCATGTGGAAGTTGGGGAGGGTGGGACGGTATGGCGGTGAGGTTCGGTGCATGTAGACAAAGAGGGCTTGCGAGTCATGCAGAGTGCGGGCCTGTGAGGGGAAGAGATGGGGTGAGGAAAAGAGAGGGGAGAGGGAAAGAGCGGGTGAACATTGAGTCAACTCAAAAGTCACAACGGTGCATGTGGACAAAGAGGGACTGTGAGTCATGCAGAGTGCGGGCCTGAGAGGGGAAGAGATGGGGCAAACCAGAGGGGGAGGAAGAAGGAGAGGGAGGAGAAAAGAGAGAGATTGTGGATGAGGCATGAGGCATGCCATGAGTCAATGCATGGAGAGATACATTATGGTTATTACAGGAACATAATGTATCTCATTACAAGAACAGGATGGGCTGAAATATCATCACAACTGTGGTTGGCACATGGGGAAAGTGTGGGCGGGGCTACAGAAGCATGGGAGAGAGGAAAGAGCACACAGGCGGATTAGGAGAAAAGGGCGCCATTGGTGGAGGGATGCAGGTGCCTCATCCTGTCAGGTGAAGGATGCACGTCACGTGATACCTCATTTCACCAGAACTTACAGGTGCATCAAATAATTCACCTCATTCCCACACCACTCACACCATTTCCTCTCCTCGTACCACCCCACTCCTCACACCATTTCCACCCCCTCATGTCATCCCCACCCACCCCTCACACCACCCCCTCTCACCTCTCGGAACGCCTCCAAAACGGCTTGCACGCATGCGGGTTCCCAACACGCCTCCCCTCCCTCCCTTTCCCCTCCACCCTCCACCATTCCCCCCACTCCACCCCACACATCCTCCCCTCGTCCCCCTCTCCCCTGCCTCTGCCCCTTCGGCTCCTTGTCCCACGCCTCATCCTGCTCACGCTCCTCCTCCTCCTCTCTACCCCCAGGCCCCCTTTCCTGAAGTGAAATATGATGTGAGTTGAAAGGCCTCCCACTCATGGCTTCTATCGCGGCCCTGGCAGCAGCAGCAGCGTCGTCCACTGCCCCCACCCGCAGATACGCATGGATCACAGCCGCCCTCCACGATCCCGAACCTGACAGGCCCGGCACCGAGCCTGGTAATCTGGGTCGGGAACTAGGCCTGGGAGGTAGTGCCGATGGGGACTCTAACCGGCTGTGCTTTCCTACTAAATGTAATGTTGACAGCTCAGCAATTCCCCGAGCCAGAGCCTTCAGGTTTGGCAAGAGGCCCGGGAGCGCGCAGGCATGGATGAGCCGGATGTAATCAGAGAGGTGAAGAGAGAAGGGGGGAGAGCGAGCGGAGGCCTGGGAAGGGATGGGAGATCGCGAGGAGTTTGGTCCAGATATAGAGTTGGAAAGGGAGGAGCGGGGGGAGGATAGGGAGGAAGACGGAACAAGTGAGATGAGTGATCTGATCTCCTCTACCAGTTCCCGTTCCTCCTTCCCTTCCTCACTCTCCCTCCCACTCTCAACCCTTCCACCCCCACCTATCGCAATCCCATCGCCTCCGCTCCCATTCTCCCTGCCCTCTTTTGCGTGCCTCTCCAATCCCCGCACGCCTAGACCCCCCAGCTCCTCAAGAATCACTCTCACAACACCCTCCCTGCCTTGCAATGATGCCACCTGCGCCACCCCCACCAGTGCACTCGCCACACCCTCTCTTGCAATCAGCCCAGATGTATTAGCGCCCATTATCCAGGCGACAGCATCTGCAAGCCCTCCTCTCTCTGCTACTACCCTTGCCACTTCCGCCACTGCTGCCACCACTGCTGCTGCCGCTGCAGTCCGTGCAGTGTTGCTGCTGCTGCTCCTGCTGCTGCTGCTGGTCTCGCCTGCGCGTCTGTTTGAGTCTGCATGGTCTGCTGCTTGCTGCAGCAGTTGGCATGCTGTGGAGAGAGCTTTGGGCGTGCAGCAGGGGGCGAGGAGCATGAGAAGCAGGAGGAGGTGGGGCGTGGATGGGGAAATGTGAGGAAAGGGAACAACAGGGAGGGAGGGGGAGGAGAAGGAGGAAGAGAAGGATTGCAGCTGCTGCTGCTGCTGTTGCTGTTGCAGAAGCATGTGGTTTCTCTCTTGTTCCTGCCACCACCAGCGTTGCCAGCAGCAGCACCACCACAGCACAACCCTAGAAGCAACCTTCAAAGCTCCCCTCTCTTGCAATCCCGCCACCACCGCCGCCACCACCGAGGCTGTCAGCCCCCGCTGCACGAGCCTCAGCTGCCGATCCACCGCCACCGAGCCTCGTGTCGCCAGCAGGAGGTTCGGCGGAGGAGGCTCGGGAGGTGGGTCCCAGAGAAAAGCCTGCGGGCGATACTGATTTTTCTGCTGCTGCTGCAACTGCCACTGCAGCTGCTGCCGCTCCTCCTTCCGTTGCTGCTGCGGTTGCGGTCTGACTGCTGTCGCTTGTGCCCCTGCGTGTTGTGAGAGGGGAAGGTTGGGATCTGGAGGGAAAAGCAGTAGCAGCAGGTGCTGCCACGTGCCTACAGGCCACCCTCGCATACCCCCTAAAAACCTCCCAATCTCAAACCCCGTCACATCAGCATAATCACCCATTTCCTCCTTGCCGTCACTACTGCTGCTTCTGCTGGTACTTTTCCTACTGCTGCTATCAGCACTATTAGTATAGACACTCCCACTGGCACCCAAGCTAGACTTATCCGAGCTCTCGACAAAAGGAGACGACCAATCAAGGCTCTCCATGCGTGCCAGCTCAGCAACCAGCTCCTCAACCACCAAGCACTCGCTCCTCGGCGAATGGCGGCCCGACACGTGGCGCTCCAGCGGCCGTCCGAGGCGCAGGCGCTGCGTGGTGGGCGGCAGGCGGGTGTCACGGCGTGAGAGGCGCCCAGGACGCTCGGGGGTGCGAGCGCGGGGGAGGGGAAGCGGCGTGGGGCGGGAGAGGTGCGTCTCAGGGAAGGGGAGGCGCGGATTGGGTGAGTATTTGGATGGGAGGTCATCATGTGCGTTCGGTGCACGAGACCTGCGAGGAGGTGGGGGGTTATGTGGGTCCTCTTGAGACGTATCGAAACGCGGATTGGGAGACCATTTAGGCGGGAGGGTGTGGGGGTTCCGTGCATATGCAGCTGACTTTTGAGCCGACTCAGAGGGAAATCGTTTCGATGGAAGGACTTGTCGGTCCTGTGCAGATTCAGGAGGAAGAGGGTTAGGCGGAGGTGACGGTGTAGGTGTAGGTCTAGATCTAGGACCATGTACAGGTGGATTAGGTGTAAGTGGGTTAGGTGAAGGCGGCTTGGGAGTAGGTGTGGCTGGGGGTGCTGGAAGGACGGGATAGGCTTCATTACTACCCCTGTAACGCGGGGGTAATTCTGTTTTTGAACCCTTCAACGCTGAACCTGACCGTTCCATGGCCCGGTTTTGAAGTCCCTTTGGCGCGTTAGTGTTACTCTCGCCCGCAGGTGCGCGGGCGCTGGGGGGATCGGCGGGAGTGCGTCGCGGGTGGCGGCGAGCGGGCTTTCTGTTTGGGTAGAGTGGCCCTGTCGTTGCCCATGCCGTTGTTGCTGCTGCTGCTGGTAGTGGTGGCGGTGGTGGTGGTGGTTCTGCTGCTGCTGCTGCTGCTGCTGCTGCTGCTGCTGCTGCTGCTGCTGCTGCTGCTGCTGCTGCTGCTGCTGGTGCTGCTGTTGCTGCTGCTGCTGCTGCTGCTGCTGGCGCTGGTGCTGGTGCTGCTGTTGATAATGACGATGGTGCTTCTGCGTCTGGACTCTCTCTGCTCGGGGAATGCGACGGGTCTGCTACGGCCCGTGGGAACGGAAAGGCGCGGCGATTGCGGACGCGCGGAAGGAATCGCGGAGAGACGCACGGAGGACGGAAAGGAAGAGAGGGACGCAGGCAGAGCGGGGAAGAATTAGGCAGGGACACGGGCGGGAGGGCGTGCGCGCATGTACTCGCGCGAGCGGGTGCGCTTGCGCGTGTGTGTGTGCTTGCGCGGAGTGCGCAGGATAGCTCGGTATGAAGCAGCGGTACGGTCTGGGGAGAAACGAGTGAGCACGCCATGATGTATCGATGATCGAACGATGCTTCTATGATCTTCGCCGCTGCTCGTTCGGGGTGATGATACGGCCGATATGACGGGAATCGCACTGGGAAAGTGTTGTATTTGTGTCCCCGGTGTGGAGGTAGCATCTTCCGCAGTGTGGGTGTGCAGAAATGTTACTATAGAAGTGTGTACAGTGAAAATATGAATCAATCGAAGCATTTCTTAGCGAATCAACCAGCCCTTCTCGTGGCGTGACATGGCACCCCTCATCCGAACTCCGTACCGTACGGAGTTCGTTCGGACTGGACCAAAGTCCGTACGTGTACTATCTCCCCCTCACAACCGTACGGCACAACTACCGTTCTGCATACCTTCCGATAGTCTGCGACCCTCGCAGAAACACGTTGCGACGTAACTCCGTTTCATCGCGAACGATCTTCGCCACTCGCACGAGCAGTGCGCGAAGCAATCGCCGTCCAATCCCGACCGTGTGACAATAACCGAGGCTTTACCATGAATTACACGCTAGTCTAACGCACGCTCTAATTATGCCGACTAGAACCTCTCGCGACTGATGTGGGAGTTCACAGCTTTCAATGTCGCTCCCGCTTCCCCTCGTCCTCGTCCTTCTCTCGTGCGTTCGGCCGTTTTTGTCGCCGCGATTCGCGGCGGCGGAGGATCTTTTCGGCGGCGATACCGGCGTGCGCGAGCTCGACGCCGCCAGCCTCGCGAACGAAGTTCTCGCGCCGCTCCGCGCCGCGCTTCACGCGCCGCACTTAGCGCCGCCGCTTCTCCCGCCGCTGCTGCCGCCGCTTCACCCGCAGCAGCGTGAGGCTCTAGTGGTACGGCCGTCCCCGTTACAGTCGAAAGGGAAGGCGGAGGCGGAAGAGGAAGCAGAACTGTCGGGAGATCAGGGCGGGGAAAACCGGGGTGCGCGGAGAGCGGCGGACGGCGGAGATGGAGCTCAGGGGGCCGCGTGGCGGAGAGGAATTCAAGGGATGGGGGAGCGGAAGGGAGCGGGAGGGTGGGGGAAAAGAGGCGGAGAGCGCGGTAGGGTGCTTGCGGGGCAGGTAGATGGCGGAGGGGGGGGAGATGAGAGGCGTGCAGTGGGGGGTGGCGCAGGGGAAGTGAAAGGCGCCGGGGGAAAAGAGAGGATAGAGGATGTTAGGGTGCAAAAAGGGGAGGAAACGGGAGAGGAAGGGGGGGAGGAAGGGGGGGAGGAAGGGGGAGAGGAGGGACAAGAGGGACAGGAGGAGGCGGAGGAGGAGGAGGAGGAGGAGGAGGAGGAGGAGGAGGAGGAGGAGGAGGAGGAGGAGGAGGAGGAGGAGGAGGAGGAGGAGGAGGAGGAAGGGGAGGAAGAGGAAGAAGGTGACGGAGAGAATGAAGGGGACAAGCAGGAGGCGAGAGATGATTCGAGAGCTGTGAGAGGGAAGGAACGAGAATTAAGAGTGGAGCGTACTACTGACAATGAGGTGCAAGGGCAGGAGTGGGATGGAGGAGAGATTGAGGAAGGACCCTCCTCCTCCTCCTCCTCCTCCTCCTCCTCCTCCTCCTCCTCCTCCTCCTCCTCCTCCTCCTCCTCCTACCACTCCTCCTCCACCCCACCCTCACTCCCTCCACCCACTTCCCCAACCCTTCCCCCAGTGCCTATATGGCTAGTGGCATGGTACCACCCCCTGTGCCACCACTGCAGGGCGCTCAGGCCGCACATCATAGCTGCTGCAGCTGCTGTCGCACACACGGGGATGCGCGTCGGAGCGGTCAACTGCGAGAAGCACTAGTAAGCATTCTTTGCGGTCTTTTATTCAGTCTTCGGTTCCAGGTTTTTTCTTTCTTCCTTCCTTCCTTCCTTCCTTTCTTTCTTTCTTTCTTTCTTTCTTTCTTTCTTTCTTTCTTTCTTTCTTTCTTTCTTTCTTTCTTTCCTTTTCTGTACCATTTATGTGTATGACATTCGTTCATGTCATGTTTATGCTTCCTACTGGCACCCACCTTCCGGCCCTTCTCCCCAGCCCGCCTCGTGATCGTCCTTTCCTTGAAGCTCAACGTTTTAGCTTCACTTCATAACATTCTGATTTCCGCATGCTCCGTCCTTCTCTAGGTTCTGGGCGTAAATTCCAACACCTCAACATATTTCCACCTCCCCACTAATCCCTCACTCTCCCCTCACGCCGCTCCCACCCCTCCTGTCTTCTCTCACCTCACAGCATCCTCGCGGCACAATACGGCATCGTCTCCTTCCCAACGCTCCACCTCTTCAGTCCCACGCACACCGACCCGCCTCTCCTCTACCACGGCTTCCGCTCCTCCCCCTCCATCTCCGCAGCCCTCTCCGCTTTTGCCGCCTCCAACGGCACTCGCCTACCCATCACCCCTTCCTCGCTCCTCTTCCGCACAGCCCACGAGCTCCAGATGATTCGCGCTCGCCCGTCTGCCAAATCCCCGTTCCTCCTCTCGCTCATAGCTCTCTCCGTTCTCTCGCTCCTGCTCTCGCTCTCCAAGGCCCCTGTCCCGCACTCGCCTCTTGCCTCGCCCGGCCCAGGCGGTAGCATAGGAGGAGGAGCAGGTGAATCAGGCGTTTTTTTCAGGATGTTCACGCTGCCCAGGTGGTTGCGGCGGAGTCAGGTGCTTTCTCAGGTGGGGGGGAGGAAACAGGGTGGGACGGTGGGAGGAGTGGGTGGAGGGGAGGGAGGGTTGGAGGGCAGAGCAGAGACGGTAGTGAGAGGGCAAGGTTCTGAAGGGTTGGGAGGGCGAGATATTGGGGGAGGAGAGATTGTGGGGCGAGGTGGCGACATTAGACGAGCTGTGCTTGTGAGACGATAAGAGGTGCGAGGTGCTTGTGTGTGCTGGGTGTGAGGGGCCTGCCTGGTCCTGCTGTGAAGGGTGGGGGAGGCTGTGTGCACATCTAACTGTATAGGTTTGTGAATGCATACCGGGATGTAGAGAGAGGGAGAGGGGGAGGATGGTAGATACGAGAGACAAGAATGTGGGATAAAGTGATTGTGTTGGGGGGGGATGACGGGCGTGTGTGAGGGTAGTGAGGGGGAGAAGCGGATGAAAGGGGGGTGGGGATAGTTGTGACGCCCAGAAGGTCAGACCACTGGGGCTTGGGAATGGAACTTGGAGCAGGAGGGAGGGGGAGCGGGGTCGGTCGGTTAAGAAATCACCAGGCAGACGAAATCTTCCTTGTGTTCCACTCCACCCAAGTGTGATATGGTAATACGTTCACTGCGGGCATCTCTGATCTGAAACCATCTCAGACGATGATAGGTAAGTATCACTCCATGGTAATGCCCCGTGTACATAAAAAGACTCACACCAAGCTCTTAAATGTGTGAAACATGGCGCAATTGCAACCCCCTGGGTATATCACCCCCTGTAAAAGACAGGCTGCTTATTTGGACAGGATTACAGACAGGTCCCCAGATGCATTCTGAGCTATGCTCTTGCCAATCCACAAGTGGAGATTACTTTGTATAAATAGTGCGCAAATGCATTGGTATCTGGATCTTTAGTATAAAAGTCGAAAATGGCAAACCATCCAAGCCAGGTGTACTTTCAAACTGATCACTAGCGGAGACGGTGGTGGTGAAAGCGCCGCACCGCACCTCCCCCAGGCGAAACGCGTTGTCTGTTGCTGACACGACAGTGTCCAGAGCATAGTGTGCTTTGTTTCAATTTTTTTAGGCTTGAAGCTGTTGGCCTCCCTAGTTTGTATGTTTCATTTTTCTGGAATAAACAGGTCTCTCAAGCCCGTTTTCAGGTGCATTTGTTCACGCGGACTTGGAAGATAAGAAAGGATTGGCACGCAAAAGGATAAGAAATAAATGCTTAATATCTTTATTTATTAGTATCCTCATGGGTTAACGGTAAATTATTTGGGAGACCCCTCTCAAAACCGTCTCCTTGACACCGACAACGTTGTTGAATTCAGGATCTATCTGATCGACGAGAACAACGCGCATGTTTCGCTCCCTTCCCCACTTTTGACCAAGGATTGGCAGTGGGGGCACAGTGAACTGCTTCAACGGAGGAAACGGGTGAGCATGGTGCACAAGCTTACTGTACAGTAAATGCAGGGTCTGGACAAGCGGTCCTATGGCACATCTTTCCACTTACGGAACTTTTCGCTGATCTGCCCAAGCTCACTTTCACGCCTCTACATGGCACATTTCCTTCCTCCGAGTCTCGTACTGCCTTGCAAGGCTACTGTACTGTACAGCGAGGATGGTGGGAGAAAGACGAACGGGTTGTTGAAGCGCATTTTCCGTTACACCCGCAAACCCACCCACCCTCCACAGTGTTATCGGCCTGTCCGCGCCAGGTTCAGCTGACGCTGTTTGCAAGAAATGCACCGCAATCCCCGAACATCGAATCGCGAATCGCGAATCGCGATGCAGCCCGACACCCCTTCCCAAATCCAACCCAGCAAGAAGAATTCGAGCATACTAATGGCGGCAAATATTTTCAGGCAAACCATTCTACAACCTCGGGAGCTAGTAGTAAGAGTACTCTTCGCTAACCAAGTCAGCTATCACAACATTCTACACACGCGATTCAACATTCCACCTGTCCTCTCCTCTGACAATCCCTTTTCGAGAGTCACGATGGCGCCACGTCTTTCCACCTTCCCGTTCTTTCTTATCGTTCTCTCCATGATCGCACTCGCGACAACCCCAGCCCTTGCGGCGCGACACAGAGCAGCTCCCACCGAGACATTGCTGCAGAAGTCAATTAAAGCGCGAGCTCTCGCCGACAAAGCCGCCGCAGCAGCCGCAGAGGCCGAGGCGATCGCAGAGCAGCGCAGGCAAAACGAAGCCGCGGCGCTCGCCGACCTCAACGCCGCCATCGCCGCCGCGGACGCCGCTGCCGCCGCGCTCAACGCCGCAAAATCCGGCGCGACGTCCGCGGCCGCGGCGAAGGGAAACGCGAAGAAATCTCTAGACGCCGCGAAGAAACAGCTCGACGAAATGAAGAAAGCGCGCGAAACCAAGTCGAAGAGCGTCGTTCAGAAAAAGGCCGACGTAAAAGCGGCGGAGGCGAAGGTCCTCGCGGCGCAGCAGACGCTAGACAAGGCCAACGCGGAGAAAACCAAGCAGGAGAAGGTCGCGGCGGACGCGAAAGCAGCGGCCGACGCGGCGGATCAGGAGGCGAAGAAGAAGAAGGGCGACAAGGCGTCGACGGACAAGGCGAAGAAAGCAGGCGACGCTGCGAAGAAAGCCAAGGAACAGGCCGACGCGCTCGCGAAGGAGGCGCTCGCGGCGGAGCAGGCGCTAGCGGCCGCGGAGGACGCGGCGGAGAAAGCGCAGGACGACGCGAGTGCGGCGGAGAGCGCCAGCGCGCCGTCAGACGCGGAGCTGGAGAAGGAAGACGAGGTGGCGGAGGCGGCGGAAGACGCGCAGGAGGCGGAGGCGGCGCAGAAGGCGGCGGAAGTCAGCGCGAAGGACGCGGAGAAGGCGCTCAAGCGCGCACTGGTGGCGGTGAAGCAGGCGCGCGCGGCGTGGAAGAACAAGAACGCGCTGAGACTGGCTGCTGAGAAGAAGGCCGCGCAGAAGGCGGCGATCGCGGCTGCGTTTGATGCTAAGGCGGATGCTGCAGAGCGTGCTGCTGGCATCGTCGCCCCTCCCTCTGCGCCCGCATCCCAACCCGCACCTGGCTCCAACCCCGCACCTGGTTCTAACCCCGCCCCCGGCTCTAAACCCGCGCCTGGATCTAACCCCGCGCCTGGATCTAATCCCGCGCCTGGCTCGAAACCCGCGCCTAGCTCTCAAGCCGCACCTGGCTCCCAAGCCGCACCTCCTTCCATACCTGCTCAGGGGTCGCGCCCTGCACCCAGTTCTACTGCTTCGCCCTGAAGAACGGATGGCTGGTGCGTTACCCTACTACTGAAGATGCCAATAGAGGGGATAGCTTCTTTTGCCTGTAAAGAGTTGTAGATATGCGAATGCCTGTAAGACATGTAATATATGTACATACAGTAAACATAGCAGTTTTTGAATGCTCATTACATGATGGGCCATCATCAAGGCACACATTCAATCGGTGCTACGCTGCAGGGATCATACGGTACTTTGAACTCAATCAGACTGACACATTTTGAAGAATATAGTTGGAGCTCGAAAGAGGGGGGCGGGGGAGGGAAGGAAGCTCATGATACTGTTTGCATCATGTACGGTATATATAATGGCTCATGCCAAGCCTTCCGTTGGAAATGCAATCATGAGTAACAAACATGCTGTTAGATTTATAGAACTCCTGGTCTTACAATGATTATACAATTATTGTACAGCCATTACTGATGGAGCTTAGGCTTATTGGAGGGCAAAATTACCATTTTTGGGTGGAAATATTGATGCGGAATAAATAGTGTGTATTGGAACATCCTTAGTTAAACACCATGCTTGACATTCTACATCATAAATCAATTCTATTGCAACTTTTCAGCTCCATTCTGTTATACATTCAAGTTTCCGCTACGCTGGCACTATGCCTTTCTAGCACCATCAATATTGGAAATCATCAGTATTGATATCCCACGACGGTGGGTGGCTTAGTTTGACAGAATCTGAAATATAACCACTCAAGGGTGTAAGCATACAAATTTGCAGCCAGTCGAAATTGCACGCGAAATTGCCTTGCACGTTCCAGAAACCTTGCACCCGTGGGTTTCTTGCCGCGAAGTTGACCAATAAGAGCCACAAAAACGGAAGTCTGACTGATGAGACTGCAGTCAAACAGTCAACGGTGAGTTACAAAATTTTTATATAAGCCCTTTTTGCCCGATGCGAATTGACGAAACCACCGCTGTTATGAGTTGTCAAACAGAGTTGCGCGGAATAACGAATAACGAGGCTGTGACTCAATGAATTGACGATACAATGAAAGACATGCGATTATATAGCGAGGCAACCTAACTAGGCGGGAACCTCGGGAACACGAGGTTGAGTGCAGGTTGGGCAAAGGAAAGCCGAAGGCGACGCGAGGTTGCTTCGGCAGCAAGCAAAGCGGCCGAACGTGCACTTCCGAAAGTTGGGGTTGTACGTGTCAAACATTGTATGTTTATATTGTGTAGGCTGTAGTGGGTTACACCTTAGGGGATACACAAAGTTAGGGTTTCCTACTTGTACCAAACTCTGAGCTAGTTCATTCATTCCTCGTTCAGTTATTCTGACATGGTATCAGAGCAGGTCCTTCGCTAGGACCTAAGTTTTTTTTTCGGGCCCACCTCTACTACCTACCTACCTACTGTCGGAGTGCTGCGTTAGCGCCTCCCCCTCCGCGCCTTCGTGCGCCCTCGTGTACGGCCCCTTAAGGCCCCGTCGACCCCGCACGCTGCCCCTTAGTGGCCCCGTCGCACCCGCGCGCGCCCCGATTCCGGCCCCGCGGCCCCGTCGACCCACCCGCGCGCACCTCGTTTAGCGGCCCCGCGGCCCCGTCTCCCCGTCGACCCACCCTTGACGCCCCGCGCGCATCTCGTTTAGCGGCCCCGCGGCCTCGTCGCCCCGTCGACCCTCACCTAGCGGCCCCGCGGCCCCGTCGACCCACCCGCGCGCACCTCGTTTAGCGGCCCCGCGGCCCCGTCGCCCCTCACTTAGAGGCCCCGCGGCCCCGTGCGCACCTCGTGTCGCGACCCCGCGGCCCCGTCGACCCACCCCTGTTGGCCCCACGGCCCCGTGCACGCCCCGCCTAGAGGCCCCGCGACCCCGTCGACCTGTGCGCACCCCGCCTAGAGGCCCCGCGACCCCGTCGACCCATGCGCCCCCCGCCTAGAGGTCCCCGCGGCCCCGTCGTCCCCGCGCGCGCCCCGCATAGAGGCCCCGCTGGCCCCGTAGACCCCGCGCACCGCCTCTTCGCGGCCCCGTCGCTTCTACTGATACTGCTACTGCTGCTGCTGCAGCTGCTACCGCTACTACTGCTATTGCTATTGCTGCTACTATTATGGCTAGTCCGCCTGTACTCGCTTTCGATGCTGAGGGCCGTCCAGTGAAGTTCGAAACCTGGCTAGATGACCTGCATCTCTTCCTACAGCTCACTGCCAAGGAGGACATCTCACTGTACGATCATGCCCTCGGTCACGCTACTGCCCCTCCTACCACTGCAGACAGCACTCAGCGCTCACAGTGGCAGACTCGTGATGCCCACGCTCGCTTCGCCATTCGCAACTCCCTACTACTAGATGAGCGCGAGCACTTTGGCCAGCACAAGACTGCTAAGGACCTGTACACTGCTGTAGTTGCTCGTTACTCCTCACCTGCCTCTGCCGCACTAGGCCGCCTCACCCTCCCCTACCTGTTCCCCGACCTGGCCTCCTTCAGCACAGTCGCTGACCTCTTCACCCACCTCAGGACCAGTGAGGCCCGCTTTCGCGCTGCTATGCCTGACGAGTTCCTTGCCAGCAACCCCCCCCCGCTCTGGATCACGCTTTACCACATCGTCACCCGCCTCCCTGACTCTCTGCGCGCAGTCAGGGATCACTTCCTCGCTCGCTCTCCCACTGAGCTCACCATTGCCCTCCTCGAGAAGGAATTGCTTGCAGCTGAGGCGAGCATCGTCGCTGTAGGCACCTCTCGTGGCGACCCCCGCACCCCGTTCTTTGAGGGGTGTTCCCCTTCCCCTCTCCTCCCCTCTGTCGCCTCTGCTGCTGCTGTCGACCTCCTTGGTGCTGAGAAGGTCGGGGCTGCGTCTGCTCCGAGCGGGCGCCGCAGGGGCAAAGGGGGCAAGGGTGGAGGTGGTGGCGGGGGAGGCGGGAGTGGTGGCGGTGGGGGTGGCGGTGGGACTGGAGAGGCTAGTGGCGGCAGTGGGGGTGGTGACAGCAGCGGCGGGAGCGGTGGCAGGGGCGGAGGCGGCAGCGGAGGCGGAGGTGGTCGTGGCGGCGGCAGGGGTGGAGGTGGCCGGGGCGGTGGCGGCGGCGGTGGTGGTCGTGGAGGCGCTGGCGGTGGCCAGAGTCAGCAGCCCGCCCCGTTGCTTCAGGCCGCCCGTGAGTGGTATGCGCAGCGTGGCTTTACCTGCACGTATGTCATTCGCACTGGTGACCGCACTGGCCAGCAGTGTGGGAGGCCGCATCCCACACAGCGTTGTTTCGCGCGCCTTACTGACGCGTGGCGGGCCCAGTTTCCTGATGCCACTGACCTGCCCCACTGGGCTGATCTGGAGAAGAAGGGAGTTGATATCTGGGCTTTAGACTTTGATGCTATTCTCACTGCCATGTATGCGATGTTTACTAGTGGAGAGGGTGCTCAGTACTTGCGTGTTCCGCCCGACCCGGGCATTCTGCCCAGTCCGGCCGCCGCTCTAGGTGCTAGTGAGTCTGCTGCCCCAGGTCCTGGTGAGGCTGCTGCTCTAGGTGCTAGTGAGTCCGTCCCCCCTGGTACTGAGTCGACTGCAGCACTGCACACCTTCACCCTGGACTCAGGTGCTTCTCGCTGTTTCTTTCGTGACCGCACTGTCCTTGAGCCTCTTGCTCGGCCAGTTGCTGTCTCCCTCGCTGACCCCTCTGGGGGTCCGGTCGTTGCGACCTCCTCTACTGTCCTTCCTTGTCCTGCGGTCCCGTCAGGCACACTGTCAGGCCTCTACCTCCCCTCGTTCTCTACGAACTTGGTGGCAGGTAGTGCGCTCCAGGACGGGGGTGTTCACCAGTTCACCCCTGCTTACGAGCGCGTGACCCACTGCACGTGTGCTCGGACGGGCCGTCACCTGGCTACCTTCACTCGGCAGCCGGGGTCGGACCTGTACACACTGACCACTGAGTCCCCTCAGGTAGCTGCGTTCGCGTCTGCGTCTGCGTCAGGTCAGCTGTCCGCCCCCTGCTCGTGTCGCTCTCTGGCGCATGAGACTGTCCTCTGGCACCACCGCCTTGGTCACCCGTCTGTGCAGCGCCTTCGGGCCATGCACAAACGGGACCTTGTTGCTGGTCTTCCCAGGGTTCTCCCTCCCCTCCCACCCTCGCCTGCTCCTCCTTGTCTTCCCTGTGTCGAGGGGCGGCAGCGCGCCGCTCCTCACTCCTCCTCCTTCCCCCCGACGACTGCTCCTTTGCAGACGCTCCACATGGACGTGTGGGGCCCAGCCCGCGTCCGTGGTCAGGGTCAGGAGAGGTACTTCCTGATTGTTGTTGACGACTTCTCTTCCCCTTGCGCACCAAAGGTGACGTCCCTTATGTCTTGATCCCTTGGATCTGCAGATCTCGTCTCCAGCTCCGTGAGCGTTTCCGCTCCGACTTCCCTGTCCTCCGTCTGCACTCTGACAGAGGTGGGGAGTTTTCCTCTGGCCTCTTGGAGGCCTTCTATCAGCAGGAGGGCATTGAGCAGTCGTTCACGCTTCCGGCCTCTCCACAGCAGAATGGGGTTGCTGAGCGCCGCATTGGCTTGGTCATGGAGGTCGCTCGTACCTCCCTGGTTCATGCGGCTGCCCCCCACTTTCTGTGGCCGTTTGCAGTCCGATACGCTGCGCATCAGCTCAACCTTTGGCCCCGTGTCTCCTTACCGGAGACTTCTCCGACACTGCGTTGGACGGGAGAGGCTGGCGATGCGTCGCGTTTTCGGGTCTGGGGATCTCGAGCTTTTGTTCGCGATACGTCCGCGGACAAGCTCTCCCGTCGCGCTGTCCCCTGTGTCTTCCTTGGCTTTGTCCCGGACGCGCCTGGTTGGCAGTTCTACCACGCCACCTCGCGTCGTGTCCTGGCCTCTCAGGACGTCACTTTTGACGAGTCCGTCCCCTACTACCGCCTCTTCCCCTACCGCACTGCCCCGCTCCCCCCCCCGCCTCTCTTCCTCGCTCCAGGTGCTGAGGTACCAGACCCCCTCCCCCCTCAGGGTGCCGCTCCCTCAGGTGTGTCCCAGGTAGACCCGGTTGAGCCTGT